AAACAAGCAGCTATCAAGACCCCCTGCAGTTTGCTTATCATTGTGGAATTGGAGCTAAAGATGGCATTAGACACCCGCTTCAAAAAACCCACTGTAATTTACACAAGGCAGACAGCACTGTGAGAATCATGTTCTTTGATTTCTCCAGTGCATTTAACACAATTGAGCCTGATTTATTTGTCAGAACCAGAAGACTCAGGTGGAGGCATCAACAATTTTCTCCATCAAAGACTACTTGACAAACAGGCAGCAGATAATGAGACTGAAAGAGTGTAAGGAGAATTCTCCAATTCTCTTTTAAACTCATAAATTTCATAAATCTTGTCTACAATATCAAAAAGGCTCCCAACATTTATGATGGCAGTGAGTCACTAGAATTAAATCTGGGTTTCAGTATTGCTTTGTTTCTGCAGTTTTTGGATCTCTTTAAAAGTTTCGTACTTGTGTTGTCATGCAGTTGGCTTCAGCATAGGCCCCGCCCCCTGATGGTCAAGCAGTATCAAAGCCAACAGTGAGGCTGCCTCTGCATTCTTGCCAACAATAAGCCTGTATTTAGCAGCTTTTTTCTTCAAAAAAGTGACTAGCGGCAAATCTAGTTTTCCTAACTTGTTGGAGACTTTGGTGGCAAAATTATTGTCTTCTGTAAATTGTTTCTCCAGATAAGACAGAGAGATACAGAAGATCCTTCCTGCCTGTAGCCATCAATATCTACAACAACCTTTTGAAAAAAATCCTTTGTGTTCATACATTTATTTTCCAGTTGGGATCAATAAAGGATATTTGAACTGATTCTTGAATTGGGGAAGTGGTAGCCTCGTGGTTAGAGCAGAGAAGAATGCAAGTATCCAGTTCGATCCCAACAGCCTAAGCTTTGGGTCCCTGCGCAAGACCCTTAACCCTCTATTACTCCCCAGGCACCGCACATTGGCAGCCCACTGCTCCCCAAGTGGATGGGTTCAGATGCAGAAGTGAATTTCTCCATTTTGAGATCAATGATGTTCAATTACTTTTATTATTATAAATTGAATTGAATCAAGCTGAAAATTGAATTGAATATTTGAGAATGAGAAAACATTTGACATAAGTTCTTCTTCTGACATATTTTTTTACTATTGGAAAAGGTAGAAACAAACCTCTCTCTTTTTACAACTCAATTGCTGTAAACAGCAGCTCATCTACAAGATATGTGTAGCTTTACTTGTAAGTTGTTGCTTTGGAAAAAGGATATGAAGATCCTTGTGGGTTCCAGAGGTTATATTATCAGTTAATTAATACATTGCCAGTGTCAAAATAGAACACGTTCTCTTTACAGAAAGATGTAGATTTATAAACATTTTTTGACATTCATCCATGCTAAGTGTTGTGTTTGCAGATGTTTTTCTGTGATGCTCACATGCATGATCACCCAGCCCAACAACCTCGACCACCTAATCCCATCCCATTTCATTCCCTGAGTTAGAGCGGCTCTACCTCAGTTTCTATATTCATACAATAATACTCATAGGTTTTGCCTTTTTTGTGCACAACAAATGTTTCCTACCAATCTTTTACACATAATACCATCTACTTGGATTATTTATTGAAATCTGATGGGACATTAAGAAGATATGTTTGGTATTTTATAGAGAACACATCTTAAGGAATATTGCATTTTTTAACCTGTGAGGAAGGGAAGTATCTTATTATCAAATGTCTTGTTCTTTGATGGGTTAGTACAATCCCACCATCCTCCAATTCTGTATCTTGGAAAATTGGTTTTATTTTATTAGTCAGACACAAACATCCATCATAAATCCACTTGTATTCTTAGCTTTTATCAGTGTTGGTGTATAGGCTATTTTCCCAAAACATTTTGCTTCTGTCACTTAAAAAGAGAATTAAATGTCCATATTGAAAGAAATCTTATCCATTTTTGTTAATGTGCCAGAAAATTGGTCTTAGCTTAAAAGCATTTTTTTTGTATCTAAAGTACAGCTCTATAGAACATAGAAATAGAAACATTGAGTAAAAGCCTTGGAAGACAAGCAGGTATGAAACCGTCAGCCTTCTGAAGCAGGATGACAACCTGAATAAATCAATTGGAGGCAAAGCTGTGAAAACGCGACAGGGCAGATACAGTGCCAAACGCAAAAGCATGCAAAGCTACGCAGAGGCTTCGCTTATATTTTTTTCCACTGTCATGGCAATAAAGCTCGCTGAATTGAAAATGTATTTCAACTCTGAGACCCTGAGAGGAGATGAGAAAGGAGAGATAAGCTAAATTGGAGGAATGGGGACTTAAAGTGTGCTGAAGCACCAGCCTCTCATAAATAGGTTTCTGTCATTATGAGCCTTTCTGCCTTTTTTTTTAACATTTGAATCTGCTAAATTCTATATTAGATGTGAACATTTCTATCATTTTTTTTTTTTTTTGTTGAAAATTGTGCTTCTTAAACACACGTCAGTAGTGCCGGTTTCTCAGACTGAAAATGTGGCTACATGCCCAGGTTGGCATCCAAACAGGAAGCGGCAAAAGAACTCTTAAAAAGAATTATTTCTGTCAGTTATGCACTTCACTTTTGTAGTGTTACTTATTTGCACATAAGGTCAAACCTTTTGTGTAGCACAGAGAACACGCAATAAGAAAATGTTGCAGTCATCTTCAGTTACATAATGATGCTAAAGGAAAATCTAATTATCACAACTGATTAGTTAAAGAGTTATTCTATTTTACCTTTTTTTCCCAGCTGTTAAACAATATACTGTTCAACTTTGTACTTGTTATGGTATCATGCACCAAGATCTTGGGAGCGGGATAACTTTGGGTGTTAAACATTGTGAGGTAGAGTTTCCATAACGCTTTTGCCTTGCAGGAAGGTCCTGGTTTCAATTCCTTTCCTAGGGTCTTTCAACATAGAATTTTTTTTATCTCCATGTGCATGAACGGGTTCTTTAAAGGTACTCTGGCTTCCTCCCACTATCCAAAAAGCATGACCGTTAGGTTATTTGGCATCTCTAAATTGAAAAAATTGAAAATTAAGGTGTGTCCTTGTGTTGCCCCGTGATTGACTGGCGACGTGTCCAAGGTGTACCCCGCTTTGCACCCAAAGACTGCTCGAGAGAGGTGCAAGCCCCACTGTGACACTGACAGGGAGATGATAGATGGGTTTCCATTAACATTTTTTTCTAAGTACCAAATAAATTTGCTGTTTTGGTCTTTAAACCATTGTTTCACCCTAAACTTTGTGGAAGGGTGTAAAATCACGCTGACAGAGGTTACAGGTAAAGGTGAATGTTACTTAGTTGAAAGGGAGCATATTATTAGCAATACTACCAACCTATTCTCATTATGAGTGCCTATGAAATCGTACGAAAAGTTATGCACCGTAATTTCGTACGTTTTGGACGTTTTTTTCGTTGTATGCGCATCTGACGCACCATTTACGAATCTAGAATATAAATTACAATTAGCCCTAACCCTGACCCTAACCCTAAGATATAAAACAGCAAGCAACGTAGTTAGAGACATGAATAAGTGATGATTGCACTGTTTTTCCCAGTTTTACGTCCGTCCGCGGATCCGCCTTTTTTTTCTGTCTGCCAGCGCATGCGCACTGATGTGGTTTTTTGAGGAAAAACGTCCAAAACGTACGAAATAGTGTGCATGACTTTTCGTACGATTTCATACGCACTGATAATGAGAATATGTTGATACTACTTAAATAGGTGGCATGTGTCAACAGCTCCTTACGCATCATACTACCTCCTATTCATCCTATTCCCATGTGGCATGTAGTCCCCATGTTAAACCAAACCCTGCTGTCCATGTCCATTTTTTTTTAATTGTGTTGATATCCTTTTTTGTGCAGTTATGTTGGGTGCTTTGTTTTATCAGCCTATAAGGGCTTTAGGCATTGTAAATGTAGAGTATGTTTGATGAGCCAAAAAGAGGGTCTTGCCACAGGCCCCGACCATGAGATGGCCACAACCATCTCATGGCTCTACATTCCATCACACAGGAGAAATATATTTTAGCCTGTAAGAAATTCTACCTGAGTTACAAAACAAGAGCTCCCCCGAACTAATGTTGCATTAAAAAAAAAACACTAGTGTCTCCAGCTCAAGGGTGTAAATGCTGCCCCTTGTGGAGCAGAAAGGCGTAAAGAAGAAGAAAAAAATAAGATCAATAAATAAACAACAACTAGGTCCCAAAATGTCCTGACCCTTGTAATCCTGTACAGGGACAAGTGGATTAATAAAGGTTCATTGAATAAACGCGCGCACAAATACAAACACTCACACAGATATATGTTTCTGCACCCCCCAACACAAACACGCAGGGTTGGATTTGTTTTTAAAGCCCACCCTGATTGGGGGAAGGCGCAGCCAACCTTCAGCGCATCAAGGATAGAGAAACAGCCACACCCTCTCAGAGTGGAGCACGAAACCCAAACGCACCCAGCTTTGGAGCCCATTTTAATACGTTTTATTGAAATACTTAAAAGCGAGCATTATGCACCACTAATAGATTTTTTTTCATTTTTTATTTTTTTTTTTCGGGGTGGGTTATTTTCCTATTAGTTATTTCTGTCAGTTTCATCCGCAAAACCTTACTAAAACCCACTTTTCATGTAGATTTAACGTCTTGTTTTTTGTTTTTTTCTACAAAGACAGGAACTCTTAAACCACCTGTGAATGTGCGGAGTAGCTGATACATTACGCGCAGTCCTCTGCAGGAATGATGCATGCTGAGGGATGTTGCACCACAGATAATCTTGGTTTCTATTGTTCATGCAAACCTTCAAGTTTGATCATCTTAACTTCAGATCTCGGTAACTCCGTGCGAAAAAAACTAAACAAAAATAAATAAACAGAAAACAAAAACACAGACATAGATCCGCTTTTATCTCAGACAACGGCGTTGACCTCCAGCCGCTCTCAAGAACCAAAGAGAGCGCACAATATCATCCTTTTTCTATGACAGATTTATAAATAAAAATAAAAATGAAGAGTTCACTTACATGCGTGTCTCTCATATTGGTGCCAGATCCTCCTTATCTTGTCTCCACATTCTCTTCTCAGATCAAGGAGTTTGTTTCATCTATTATTTCAGTGGAGTTACGCACAGACCTCCCAGACTCTCTCAACCTGCGTCTCTGCTTCGTTTGCCTCATTTTGCCCCACAGAAGGAGTAGGACGGATCCGCAGGACGCGGTTTATCCATGGTGGCAGAGAGCGCAAAAAAACACGCCGTGCGCCCCGGAAAACAGACCAAACCAAAGCGTACCCCCTCGGAAAGTTCAAGCCAACACTGCTGCTTATAAACTCATTTTGCAGAAGTTAAAATGAAAGCGGATCCGATTCCGTGAAGGAAAGTTTAAAATACCGGAGAGGGACGGCTTTGACGGGATGACGAGAGAAACGGCTGTGAAGGACTCTGTCACAGGAGCTGATAGAGGGAAGGAGGGAGGGAGAGAGAAAGAGAAAGAGGGAAGCGGGGGTAGAAAAAGGATCCAAGAGTCCGACACGCTTCACAGTCTCTCGGTTCCAGCTTCAGCTTCATTTCTTGCTTCTTTTAAGAAAAAATAAAAAAAAAT